TAAACCTTAAAGCTGGAGAATAATATCTTTTGACTCCATGTACTGCCTTCTGGACACACTGGTGCAGGGATTGGCCCCCAAGGCCTTGGGCATCCCTGACTCTATGACTTTGCTGGGATCAGTCTACACTACAGCTTTCCCAGGCTGGCTTTGCAGGCTGATAGCTCTGCAGTTCTGGGGTCCTGTGGCAATCCTGCTCCCATGTCTCCACTAGGCATTACCCTTTAGGGGCCTTCTGCAGTAGTTTTGCCCCTGTGATAATCTCTGCATAGACTCCCAGGCCATCTGATACATCCATTGGAATTAAGATGGATCTTAATTCCTCCACAGCTTTTGCTTTCTGTAAGCCTGCAGAATTAATGCCATGTGGATGCTGCCAAGGCTTACGATTCACATCTTCTGGAGTAGTGGGTATAGCCCCAATGGGGGTCACTTGTGCCACAGCTGGGGTGGCTGACTCCTTGCCAAAATTTGGGGACCCAAGGTAGTCCTGGGTAGTGAGCTCTTGAAGGGCACTCAGGGCCTGTCCCCTGAAACCATTCTGCCCTCCTAGATCTCTGGGCCTGTGTTGGGATGAGCCACGTAGAAAATCGTTGAAACACTTTTGGAGTCTAGAACATTGTCTTAATGATTCCTTCCATCTGTACTAAACTCCTTTGCAAATGGTCTCTGGGCCACACCCTTGGTTCATTCTTTACATAGCCAGGCTAAGACTTTTCCAAATCTTTCTGCTTTGCTTCCCTTTTGATTATAATTTTTTTTTTTTTTAAATCTCATCCCTTTGTTCTCAAATCTCACTGTAAGTAAGCAAAAGCAACCATGCAGCATCTTGAACACTTTGCTTAGATATTAATATTTCTTTTGCCAGGTATCCTAGTTTGTCATGCTTAAATTTTGCCTTCCATAAATTCTGCCAAGTTCTTTACCACTTTATAACAAAGACAGCGTTTATTCCAGTTTCTAATAAGAATTTCTCATTTCTGTCTGAGACCCCATCAGAAGTCTTTACTGTTCCTAATTCTACCAGTATTCTGTTCACAACCACTGAAGCAATTAAAAAGATTCAGACTTTCTTTAGTCTGCTCTTCTGAGCCCTCACCAGAATCACCCTTAATGCTGTTTATGGCAATGCAGCCTTTTTCTAGACTGCTTCTCCAGGTTCTTCTAGCCTCTATCCATTACTCAGTTCCAAAGCCACTTCTGCATTTTCAGGTGTTTGTTATTAGTCCCACTTCTTGGTATTAATTTTTTTAGTTTGTTTTCTGTTTCTGTAAATGAATACCTGATACTGGGTACTTTATAAACAGAAGAATATTGTTTCTTATAGTTCTGGAGGCTAGGATGTCCAGGGTCAAGGAACCACATCTGGTTAGGGCCTTGTTGCTAGTGGGGACTCTGCAGAGAGCTAAGGTGGTGCAGGGTATCGCATGGTGAGGGGAGTTTATGAGAGAGGGAAACTGGCCTTCATAACAGACTTCTCTTGTGATAACTAAACCACTCCCTTGATAACCCATTTATCCATTAATCCATGAATGGATTAATCCATTTGTGAGGACAACCTTTCATTACACAGTCACCTCCCAAAGTCGAAGCTCTCAACACTGCTGCATTGGGACCACATTTCCAACACATGAACTTTTGGTGCACACACTTAAACCATAGCAGGGATCATAATGGACACAGAGTATTTTCTTGAAGTGTAAAAAGTTTCCAAAATTAATTTTAGTGCACATATATGTGAATATATTAAAAACTATTGAATTGTACATGTTAAAAGCAATTTAAAAAGCAAATTAATGCATATTATATCATTCCAATTTTGAATTTTGAAAATTTAAGTAAAATATAAAAAAACTTTTAAAAAATTACACTTTAGCAAAGCAAACAAAAGTTGAAAACTGGAAACTATTAAAGAAATTTATGTGAGTGATTTAAAAACTTTCCTTCAAAGATAATTCCAGGCCGGGCGCGGTGACTCACACCTGTAATCCCAGCACTTTGGGAGGCCGAGACGGGCGGATCACGAGGTCAGGAGATTGAGACCATCCTGGCTAACACTGTCTTTACTAAAATACAAAAAAAAAAATAAATTAGCCGGGCGTGGTGGCAGGCGCCTGTAGTCCCAGCTACTCGGAAGGCTGAGGCAGAAGAATGGCGTGAACCTGGGAGGCAGAGCTTGCAACGAGCCGAGATCGTGCCACTGCACTCCAACCTGGGCGACAGCGCGAGACTCCGTCTCAAAAAAAAAAAAAAAAAAAAAGATAATTCCAGATTCAGATGACTTCAATTGTGGTACGTGTCAAACACACATAGATGAAAACAGAACACTGAATATATTCCAGAACTCATGAGGCTAGCATTACCTTGATATTAAAACCTGAATACAGTATGAGAAACAAATATTATATTCCAATTTCACTTGCAAGCATAGAGAAATCCTCAATAAAATATTATTCAATAAAGTTCAGTAACAACAACAACAACAACAAAATGCCTAATACATCATAAGGAAGCTTGGTCTGTGCCAAGAAATCAAGATTGGTTTAACATTTGAAAACCCTTAGTGTAATTTACCACATTAACAGCTTAATGTGGTAAAAAAGCATGTGATCATTTCAATATAGACAAAGTATCTGATAACATTTAATATTCATGATTTTAAAAATTCTTACGAAACTGAGAATCACAAGGAACTTTAAAAATCTTATTTAGGCTACCTATAAAATCCTACAGTAGTGATCATACCAAATGGTGAAGCATTTCAAAAAAGAGCCCCCTTTAATCCAACATTCTTGGAAGTCAGTTCAAATTGGTGAGAAAATGAAATGGGATGTATAAGAATTGGAAAGGAAGAAAGAAAACATTGAATATTTGTGGATTGAATATTTACTAGCAACAAATAGTTCAAAAATTAGATTTTTTTTATTTGAAAAAAAAATTTTTTAGAGATGAGTCTTGCTCTGATCGTGCAGACTGAAAGTGCGTTGGCACAATCATAGCTCACTATATCCTCAAATTCCTGGGCTTAAGCAATCCTCTTGCCTTAACCTCCCATGTGGCATGGGCTACAGGTGTGTGCCACCATTCCCAGCTAATTTTCTCAAATTTTTGGTAAAGACGAGATTCTGCTGTGTTGTCTAGGCTGGTCTCGAACTCCTAGCCTCAAGCAGTCCTTCTGCCTTGACCTCCCAGAGCGCTGGGATTACAGGCATTGAGCCATTGTGCCCATCCAGAAATTAGACATTTTAAAATGATACAATTTATAATAGCACTAAGATTTATCAAGCACTTGTGGAAAAATATAACAAAAGATGCGTATACCAATATTTCTAAAACTATAGAAGTTTATTGGAAGACATTAAAGAGGACCAAAACAAAAGGAGATATAGACATGTGTGCATAGAAAACAATATTTTAAGATCAATTATCCTAAATTTTGATTTATAGATTCTTTGCAATTTTAATCAAAATCTCAAGTTTTAAAGTTTTTTTTTTTCCAGAAACTTTTCAAGATAATTCTAAAATTTATATGGAAATGCTAAAGGCTAAAAATAGCCAAGATACTTGCATAAAAGCTCAGTGGAAGCACTTGCTTTCCTAGATACCAGGCTTAATAAAACACACAATATTAGCAAATTAGAGAGCCTTCACATGACCTGAGCACATATAAACACTTATTTTGTAATAAATGTGAACTGCAGAGTAATGGGGAAAGGACAGGATTTTCAAAAACTCTTGTTGAGACAATTGGGTGTTCTTATGAAACAAAAATATATTGGCTTTCTTATCCTATACATAAAATTAATTGTGGGTATATTATATACTTAAATATGAAAAGCAACATATAGTACTTCAGGGCTGGATATGTTTTTTTAAAGGAGACATCTAAAGCACAACCCATAATGGAAAACATGATACATTTGACTACGTTAAAAAAACTCATATTCATCAAATATACCATAAAGAAAATGAAGCCACAGAGTGAAAGAAGACATTCGCAGCTCATACAACTGAAAGGACTCATCCGTTACCAATAATAAAAAAGTCTCAATACAATGTGTGCAAAGGACTTGAATAGGAAATTCTCCCCCTCCAAACGGAAATCAAAATGGGAATAAATATATAAAAGGAGTTCGACTGTATCAATATCACTGTTTTCTGCCTCCACATTTTGTCCCACTGGAAGGTTTTTTTGGGGCAGTAATATGCATAGAGCTGTCATCTCTTTTAACAATGTCGTCTTCTAGAGTACCCACTGAAGGACCTGATCGAGGCTGTTTTACAGTTAACTATTTTTTTTAAGAAATGAAAGGAGTACACTCTAAAATAATAAAAAGTTTAGTAAGCACATAAACCAGAAGCATAATTTATTATTATCAAATATTTACTGTGCATAATTGTATTGCTATACTTTTATATGACTGGCAGTGCGGTAGGTTTGTTTATATGAGCATCACTTACAAATTCGTGAGTAATGTGTTGTGCTATGACATTATGATGACTGTGATGTCACTAGGTGATATAGGAACTTTTCAGTTCTGTTATAATGTTATGATACCACTGTCATATATGTGATCCATTGTTGACTGAATCATTTTGTGGTGCAGAACTATAAACCAAAAGCATGTAATAACTAGGGAAATGCCTATTAATGAGATGTTAAGTGAAAAATAGTGAGTTTTCTTTAAAACGTGTACATAACAATTTACATGCATCAAAATATTAACAATCTGGATGAATTATCTTTCCACCTTTCTGATTTTCCAAAAGTTTATATTAATTATATGTAGATAAAACACAAATATTTTAAGAAAGTTTTTGCATAGTTAAGAAACTTTCTAAGCGTGACATTTTAAAGCATCCAATTTTTCATGTTTTTCCTATTGTAGGAACATTATGCTCATCTTTTTTCTACGATATTTGTTTCTATCTTCTAGCAGTTGTTGTTTAGAAGCCCTGTCTTTTTTAGTTACTTCATTTTAAATAACCATTTTTAACAGGTGTTTGACATAAATGGAACTGATGTTACTCCTCGACCTCTTTACCATCCAGATCCACTTACTGGTACAGCAAAGCCAAATAAACTCTTGACATCACAAGAAGGATCACTTGGACCAGAATTTATATCTTCCCATAGCTTTTATCAGAATACAATAAATCCTAGTATGTTAGGGCAATTTACAAGGTAGAGTATACTATTATATAGTTCCTTTTTTCTATCATATATATATTGCCTTTCCATTTAAATTGCACATATGTATCTTAGATATCAGTTGTTTCCAGTCTCCCAATCTTTCTCTCTCTTTCTTTCTTTCTTTCTTTCTTTCTTTCTTTTTTTTTTTTTTTTTTTTTTTGAGACGGAGTCTTGCTCTGTAGCCCGGGCTGGACTGCAGTGGCTCTTTCTTTCTTTCTTTCTTTCTTTCTTTCTTTCTTTCTTTCCTTTCTTTCCTTTCTTTCCTTTCTTTCCTTTCTTTCCTTTCTTTCCTTTCTTTCCTTTTTTTCTTTCCCTTCCTTCCTTCCTTCTTCCTTTCCTTTCCTTCCTTTTCCTTTTCCTTTTCTTTCCTTTCCTTTTTTTTTTTTTTTTTGACGAGTTTCACTCTTGTTACCCAAGCTGGAGTACAGTGGTGCCATCTGGGCTCACTGGAACCTCCGCCTCCTGGGTTCAAGCTATTCTCCTGCCTCAGCCTCCTGAGTAGCTGGGATTACAGGTGTCCCCCCACCATGCCTGGCTAATTTTTTGTATTTTTAATAGAGACGGGGTGTCAGCATGTTAACCAGACCGGTCTCGAACTCCTGACCTCAGGTGATCCACCCACCTAGGCCTCCCCAAATGCTGGGATAACAGGCATGAGCCACCGAAGTTTTAATTATCATCCTAATGTTCCATCTCTACATTCCTCTCATGTTTTAAATAAAATGCAGAGTTCTTAATGTCTTAAGAGTTCCCATATACTCACCACAAAACATTTGTGGAAAATACATGTATTTCACTCAAGACTTCCTGAGCAACCAAAAGATGGGATTAAAATCACATACAATTAATTTCAAATTCCCATTAGACATTTTTCTTCAGGTTTCTTCGGCTTCTTTTGAGCTGCATTTTATGGGAAGAGGTGGCTTCCCTTTTTTCCCCTCCTCTCCCATGCAAATCTCTGTTTTCCTAGAGTTTGATTTCTCTCTTATTTTATAATACACAGCAATTATATGCTTCTCTGGAGCTTGCCTCTGAATTTGCCTACAAAAATACAGCAGTACCTGGTAAAACAAGATATTCCAATAAACTTTACATCTTGTTTTGATGGGCAGTTTAGACTATAAATAGGAACAAAAAAGAAAGTATGTAATACCATGGAGTAGTGTTAAGTTCATATGTTTAAGGAAATTATTTTTGGATTCTTCCATTGATATCCTTCTGAGTACATATATTTTAGTTAAACCTTGAGAAGGCCTTTATTAAATGAAATAAATCACATTTTTAAGATGACATTTGAGTAGTGAACAGAAACCAAGTGAAAAACGAAAGGAAGAATATTCCAGGCTGAGGCTCTGAAGTCAGAGAGCTCCTAAGATTGAGGAACTAAAAAAAAAAGTAAAGGAAGACTAATAATGAAGATGAATGTGCTGGGTAGGTAGACTGTATTTTGGATTTTTGTACTAAGTGTACTGATAATTCACTGAAGGACTTTAAGCATGTTTAACATGTCTTTCTTCTAAAATACATTTTTGCTGGGCGTGGTGGCTCACGCCTATAATCACAGCACTTTGGGAGGCCAAGGTGGGCAGAGCACCTGAGGTCAGGAGTTCAAGACCAGCCTGGCTAACATGGTGAAAACCCGTCTCTACCAAAAATACAAAAAAAATTATCTGGACGTGGTGGCACAAGCCTGTAATCCCAGCTATTCAGGAGGCTGAGGCAGGAGGATCACTTGAACTTGGGAGGCAGAGGTTGCAGGGAGCAGAGATTGTGCTATTACACTATAGCCTGGGTGACACAGCGAGACTCCATTTCAAAAAATAAATAAAGATATAAATAAATTTTAAGTAACTTTTTATTTAAGAAATATTAGAAACCGACTCATTTTTGAAAAATGTATCTATTTTACTTATATGATCCTAGTATATTTGATTTCTCCATCTGATAATGTGTTCTAATTTGTATACTTAGTTTCCCATAAGGACATCTAAATAAATAATTTTGTTATTCATTATTAAAGGTCAGTTTTAGGAAGCAGTACAGTTTCTAAGTCAAGTGTATCAACAAGTGAATCAATAGCAGAAGACCTGGAAGAACCATCCTATAAACGAGAAAGATTGACTAGTTTCACAGGTAATGAAAATATGCTGGTTTATTTCAGTAACAGTTCATTATTTAGTCAGTATGCTTATTATTGGTTGGATACTTGAGATAAAAGAAATATGATAATGATTTCCAAATGCTGGCTTGTGAAGTCGCGTCAAGAGAATTACCAGGGGAGTATCTATTTTTTTAAGTTTCCTGGGTGACTTTTTTGAATCATCATCCTGAGGAACCACTGGTGCTTTGTGTTAGAGCTCAGCTTCTCCTTCCTCCTCCTCCTCCTCCTCCTCCTCCTCCTCCTCTTCTTCTTCTTCTTTCTTCTTCTTCTTCTTCTTGTTCCTCTTTTTCTTCTTCCTCTTCCTCCTTTCCTCTTCTTCCTCTTCTTTTCCTCTTCCTCTCTTCTTCCTCACTTCTTCTTCCTCCTCTTCCTCCTCTTCTTCTTTCTCTTATTCCTTCTCCTCTTCCTCCTCTCCCTCTTCCTCTCTCTTCTCCTCCTCTCCTTCCTTCTCTTCTTCTTCTTCCTCCTCTTCCTCCTCTGCTTCCTTCTCCTCTTCCTCTTCTTCTTTTTCTTCTTTCCTTTTTTTTTTTTTTTTTTTTTTGAGACAGAGTCTTGTTCTGTCACCCAGGCTGGCGTGCAGTGGCACAATCTCAGCTCACTGCAACCTCTGCCTCCTGGGTTCAAGCAATTCTCCTGTCTGAGCCTCCCAAGGAGCTGGGATTGCAGGTGTCTGCCACCATGCTCAGCTAATTTTTTTGTATTTTTAATAGATACGGGGTTTCATCATGTTGGCCAGGCTGGTTTCAAACTTCTGACCTCAAATGATTTGCCAGCCTCGGCTTCTCAAAGTGCTGGGATTACAGGTGTGAGCCACTGTGCCTGGCCTCTTCTTTCTTCTTCTTCTCAGGGTCTCACTCCGTCACCCAGACTGGAGCGCAATCTTGGCTCACTGCAACCTCTGCTTCTCAGGCTCTAGCGATCCTCCACCTCAGGCTCCCAAGTACCTGGGAATACAGGCATGCACCACCGTGCCGGGCTAATTTTTTGTAATTATTGTAGAGACAGGTTTTCGCTATGTTAACCAGGCTGGTCTCGAACTCCTGGGCTCAAGTGATCTGCCTGCCTCAGCCTGCCAAAGTACTGGGATTATCAGTGTGAGCCACCAAGCTCAACTTCTTTTTTTTTTTTGACGGAGTCTCGCTCTGTCGCCCAGGCTGGAGTGCAGTGGCACAATCTCGGCTCTAATCAGAGACAAATAATTCTGATACATTTGTGATCAGTTCCATAATGACATATGTGGAATGTCATGGGAACACTTAGAAAGAAGTGATTAAATCCTTTGAGGTAAAATAAAAAAGGCTTCACAGAGAACATTACTGACTTTTGAATTAGGTTTTTAAAGATTATTAGTTACTTGTCCAGAGAAGTAGGGGAAGCCCAATCCAGGCAGAGGGTAAAACATGAGGTAATGGAAAGGATTATGAAAATGAAGATACAAGAATGAGGAAATAATAATGGATGATCAAAAGTGCTGGGAGAAATGGTTACATACCTGAGGGGTACTTGCTTTGCAGTGCAATAAGGATTTTTTTCCTTTAAAATGATAATGAGGGACTGGTGAAGATATAAGGCTGGAAAAATGGTGCTTTATGGACTTTTCTTTTTCATGTTGGGAGATGTAACAGGAATGACTGACAACAAGTAACAGAATACCCAACTAAAAAGAACTTGAACAAATATTTACTTTTCTCACATTAAAAGAAGAGATAGCTTTTGGCTTTGATTTTTTTGGCTTAATTTTGTCAGAATTTGGATTGGCCGTTCTGCTATTCTCTTTCCTAAAGCCTTTCTTCTTTTCTTATGGTCTCAAAATATCTTCTCCAGCTCGCTCTGGGCATATTATCCACATTAAAGACAGAAAGGAGAAGGGAAGTAGCACCATCATATCTATCTCATTTTTCAGGAAGGTAAAAAATTTCCCAGAAGCCTTTCCCCTTCCTTTATATTTCTGCTTTCATCTTATTGGCCAGAAGTGTCACATGATCAGCCTTAGCATTAAGAGAGGCTGGAAAATCAAGTATTTAGCTTCCTATTAATTATATTAATAGCTATTTAGCTTTCTATTAATTATATTATTTCTATTAAAGAGACAAGGGAAGAGAGAAAGGGTTTGGAAAAAAAACCTAACCAATCAGCAATATCTGCTGCAGGAGAGACCCTCATTCTCTCAGTTGGAGGCCAGGAAAACTGGATTATTGTCATTACCTCCCCCAGCTTTCTCTATAGATATTCTTGCCACCTTCCAGTCTATTTTTCCAAATTATATTCAGAATGTTTTTTTTAGAAACACAACTAATTGCATCCTCTTTTGCTTAGAAACTAACTCTTCAAAAGATTTGCATTGCTCTTAGCATAAAGAATAAATCTTTATGAAACAATTTCTCTTGAAGCCTTTTTTGCTTGTCTACATCAAAAACAAACAAAAACAAGTAACACAAATTTACCTCCAGAAGACCTGAAAAACAATGTACATATTTATATCATCTTGGTCAATTGCTGGTGAATTTTTTTTCTTTTTTTTAATTTTTATTTTAGACAGAGTCTTGCTCTGTCACCCAGGCTGGAGTTTAGTGGCATGATCTCGACTCACTGCAACCTCTGCCTCCCGGGTTCAAGTGACGCTTCTGCCTCAGCCTCCCGAATAGCTGGGAATACAGGCACTTACCACCACGCCTGACTAATTTTAGTATTTTTAGTAGAGACGGGGTTTCACCATATTGCACAGGCTGGTCTTGAACTCCTGGCCTGGTGATCTGCCTGCCTCGGCTTCCCAAAGTGCTGGGATTACAGGCGTGAGCCACCATGCCCGGCCGTTGCTGGTGAATTGTAACTATGAAGTCAGCCTCTAAAATGAGTGACACCTAAACAATTTGACTTCTACCCCCTAGCTTCTTTTTTAGACTAGAACAGTGTTTCCTCACTCTAGAATGCATATTAAAGTTGTCTGGTATGCCTTTAAAAAATTCCCGTAGTTGTGTCTCAATTCAGGTCAATCGAATTACAATATCTGGGACTAGGGTTTAGGCCTAAGCAGTAAGTATGCTGATAAATGTTTTACTAACTACACAGGTGGCAAGGAAATCCTTATTTGCTGCATTTGCCAATTTTCATGTTATAAATCCTCTCATCACAGCAGATTTCAAGCTCCCAACATAAATTTTCTGAATGGGAAGTTACAAACAGATACTTAGTAGCACACCACCATACAGATACAATAGATATTTTAAATAACTGCAAGAGATTAGGTAGTAGTAAATTTTTGTTGTTGTTTTTTGTTTTTTGAGACAAAGTCTCGCTCTGTCACCCAGCCTGGAGTGCAGTGGTACGATCTCGGCTCACTACAACCTCTGTTTCCTGGGTTCAGGCCATTCTCCTGCCTCAGACTCCCAAGTAGCTGGGATTACAGGCACCTGCCACCACACCCAGCTAATTTTTGAATTTTTAGTAGAGACAGGATTTCACGTTTTTGCTAGGCTGGTCTCGAGTGATCTGCCAGCTTTGGCCTCCCAAAGTGCTGGAATTGCAAAGTGTGAGCCACCACTTCCGGAAGGCAATAGTAACATTTAATAGCATAATTAGGAAGTGATGATCCTTGAGTAATTATTATCTTTGTTTTTAATATGATTTATTTAATAATAAATTTATATAATGTAATTTTGAGTAATGTCTATGTTTAACAACTGACTCACAAAATTCCTGAAATTAGCCTGTTCTAATATACTTCTAGATAAAAATATATTTAAAATATGTTCGTAACTTCCCCCCTCCCAGACCTACTGAATAAAAAATTCTGGTGTGGACTTCCAGTTTCTGTTCTTGTATGTAGAGAGTTTAGAAGTCATTACTCCCATCTTATAACAAGAAAAAGTTAGACAAATTGGAAATTAACAGCTTTTCTTGGACTCATCAGAGAACTGTGGTGACAAGGGCAAACTGCCACCTTGAGATCTAGAGACGCAGACAATCCAGAGAAATACAGTTCCCAAGAGTTACTTACCATAAGCTGGAGGAACACATGAATGATTATTTTCATGAATTGCTGGAGGCTGAGTATTTTCCTAGTATAAGAGTAAAAAAATCATGGGGGAGCACAGTCATTGGAAAGAGAGGGCCCACACTTACATGGGCTTTCATTCTAGGAATCCAGTGGATTCTTTCAGTGAGGATCTGAGCTAAGAATCTGAGCTGAAGATAAGCTAGTGGCCCTGGTAGGGGAGGGAAAGAATATCCACATTAAAACACTCCTAGCCTCTTTTTTCTAACAAATACTTAATCTGGGGATGGGGAGTGGGGGAAATTTGCCAGAGGGTAATTTTGAAACTATAGCCCTATTAGGGTAAGGGAATTCTACTCTAGCACCAACCTTTATTTCTTAACTAGGGAGGAAAAATAACAGTGCTTAAGGAATTTGATTGGGAATGTTGCAGTCAGGGAAGGGAGTAGGGGCAGGGATAAGACAACTATACTCTTGAAGTAGGAATAGATATACTTGTGAACACCATGTCTCCAAGACACAGGTTAACTAAAAGTGTGAGAGTCAATCAGATTGTAGACTATTTCCCTTCTCCCCACTTACCACCAGTGAACCTCCAGAGTGACAATACTGGATTACAGATGAAAGAATTGCAAGACATAGGCTGTCTCTAAAGCAATACAGAGAAGCCTGAAAGCCAGGAAGGGAAACAAAAACAAGAAAGGTTTTGATACCTGTAACTACAACAACATTAAGCACAACCAAACTGCTACCCTGAGTACCATCAATTCTTCTGCTGAAGGCCTTATTACCTCAGCACCTGTTACAGGATACAGCATGTCTGACTTTTAACAAAAAGTCATTAGGAGTGCTAAAGGGCAAGAAAAAAATATTTTGAAGAGATCAAGCAAGCATCAAACCCAGACTGTTATGATAAAAATGTAAAAATTATTGGACAGGGCATTTTAAATAATTATGATTAATATGTTAAGAGATCTG